GGTTTGGCTATTGTGAATAACGCTGCTATGAACATAGTTGAGAAAGTGTCTTTGTGATATATATCCTTCGGGTAAATGCCCAAGAATGGTATAGCTGGAATAGGAGGCAAATTGATTCCCAACTTTCTGAGAAACCTCCATATTGATTTACAACTTGGCTACACAAGTTTGCACACCCACCATCAGTGGAGGAGTGTGACCCTAGCTCTACATTCTCTTTAGCAGAAGGTGTTATTTTCTTTTAATCTTAGCCATTGTGACTGGTGTAATATAGAATCTCAGAGTTGTTTTGATTTGCATTTCCCGGATGACTAAAGATGTTGAACAATTCTTTACGTGTCTCTCAGACATTTGGGAGTCTTCTGTAGAGAATCTCTGTTTGGCTGTTATCATCATCACCTATGCCCCGGCAATGCTTAAACATGCATAGGCAGCTGGTTCATGGCGATTCTCCAGTTCTTCCTTTACTGGGCAGTCCTAGATGCTTGTGTTAGTGTCATACCCAAGGTTCCACAGTCTTCCTTTATGCTGTCTATCCAGTATTTTCTGGGCCTTCCTCTTCGCCTTATCTCATGCACTCCTCCAAGCAGTGCTGTCTCCGGGTTTCTGCCATCATTCATTCTCATAACATGGCCGAAGTGTCTCAAGTGCCATTGCTGTATCTTGTTGTTTACTTCCTTCTGTAGATGGGGATGTGTCTTAATGTCATCGTTGTGAGCCTCTCTCTTCATGTGATGCCTAGAATCCTCCTGAGACATGCCATCTTAAACACATTCAGCCACTGTTCTGAGAAGCATCTCATTGTCCAGGTTTCAGAGTCATAAAGAAGGCAGCTCAAACAAGTGTCTCATATACTTGTAATTTTGTTGTTGCCATTATGTCTCCTGCTGATTCTAACCTTTTACTGCCTGGAATGTGGCCGTCCCTATCCCTATCTGCCTTTTGACTTCTGAAATAGTTCCCTCCTTGGAACTGAGGTTTCCTCCCAGATAGACAAGTTGACTGTTGACTTGAGGTTCTGATTCTTTATTGCAATGTAAAAATCCTTGTGTGCCTTTCCCATATGTCATATCTCAGTCTTCCCAGTATTTACTTTCATACTAAGGTTTCCACTTACTTCCATCTCTCTGTTTACCATGGTCTACAGCACATTTGGACTTTCAGCAAGCAGTGCTGTATCGTCAGAGAAATGAAAGTCATTAATTTGCACACCACCTATCTGCATGCCTATCTCTTCATCCTCCATGGCTGTTGCTATTACTAATTCCAGGAATATATTAAAGAGCAGTGATGAGAGGGCGCATCCCTGCAGCTCTCCTACGATTGTCTTAAGCTGATCACTTAGTTCTCCACAGACTTTGACTGAATCAACAGTATCTTTATAGGTGTTTCCTAGTAATCTTATGATTTCCTCTGGGTACCTGTAGAACCTCATTGTTTCCCAAAGTCCTTGCCTCCAAATGCTATTGAATGCCTCCCTGAAGTTGATGCAGCAGACATATAAGTCTTTTCCACATTCTTCATATTTTTCTGCCAGTTGCCTCAAATTGAAGGTCTGATCAATTGTGTTCCTATTAACTCTGAATTCACATTGGGCCTCTACTAGCATTGTTCTGTTCTGTTCTGTCCTTGATCCTTTGCAGGATAATGGAGAAGAAGATCTTGTTGCTATGGCACAACAAACTAATTCCACTGTAATTTGAGCAGTCCGAGTTGTCCTTCTTCTTGTGTGTGGAAATTATGACAGAGTGGTGTGGAAGGTCCTTCTGTCTATGTGGGGTTTTTTGTTGGTTAATGAATAAAGAAACTGCTGTGGCCTGTTGATAGGACAGGACTTAGGTAGGTGGGGAAAAGTGGACTGAATGCTTGGAGAAGGAAGACAGAAAGGGAGATGCTATGGAGCCGCCAGAGACAGATGTGCTGAAAACTTTGCTGATAAGCCACGACCTTGTGGTGATATACAGATTAATAGAAATGGGTTAAATTAAGATGTACGAGTTAGCCAACAAGAAGTTAGAGCTAATGGCCCAAGCAGTGTTTTAATTAATACAGTTTCTGTGTAATTATTTTGGGTGTAAGCTAGCCGGTAGGCCAGGAACGAACAACCTCCCTCCTCCCAACAACAGAGCGCTTCCATTTTGTGGGAATCACTTCATGTTCCCACATCTCACTGAAGAGTCTAAGAAGTACCTCAGCCCTGAATTTATTGTAGCTGACTCCAACTCACTCACCACGATGTCATCCACTCCTGGAGCCCTTCTACCTTTAGTTTTCTTGATAACTTCCTGTCAATGTTTACATTTCTTCATTGTCTCTGGTGTTTGAGTGTCTGCTGAAGCGTTTCTCGTAGTTTACATTGACAGCATTGGGGTCATTGTATAGGGTGTCAAAATATTGTCTCCGTTGTTGTTTTGTTTTCCATGATTTTGTTATTAAATGATCTTTCCCATCTTTAATCACTCAAATCTGAGGAGCGTATCTGGCAGTTATCCATCTGATAACTTCATAGACAAGATGTGTTTTATTATGGAGTCTAGCCTCTTTGACCTCGTTACATATACCTTCTATACACTCTCTCTATCCTTCTTCGCTTTTCTTTTGAAATCCCCACACAGATAGTTGTGGTGTTTTTCTGTCTGTGGATTGCCTCTTTGTTTGCTCTTTAGCTTCCTTCTTTCTTCTACCAGGTTGATCTTCTCTGCAGTAAGCCATTCTACTGGTGTTGCCCTTTTTGCATAACCAAGCACCTCCTTTGAATCCTTCTGTATAGCTCTTTTGACTTTCTCCCATTCACTTTCTATATTTGCAAAGGGTTGTTTGATGATTTCCCTCATTTTTTCAGTGGTCTCTTATACTCTTTCCATACAGCTAGGTTCGCTATTTTGTTTACAATTGATCTTCCGATTCATTATGCCTGGCATGCCTCTCCTAAGTTTCAGTTGAATATTGGCCATAACAAGTTGGTGATCTACCCTAAGTCAGCAATAAGAAATGGTCAACTGTTTTGGATACTAGATAAGAGTTCCTGCTGTCCAGAATATAGTCAGTTTGGCTGTATATGCGTTTGTCAGGGCAGTCTCACTTCCAGCATCTTGGTGGTTTGGCTTACTTGAATTTTGTGTTGGCTATGTACAAATCATTTGTATAGCAGAGATCAAGCAATCATTCTTCTCTGCCATTCCTTTGTCCAAGATCGTTTGTTCCCATGACGCTGTAGTCCATTCTTTCTCCAGATCTCACTCTTGCATTGAAGTCACCTGTAATGATTAGTATGTCATTCCTGTGCACTCTGCTGACCTCATTCTGTAGATCTGTGTATAAACTGTTGATGGCATCCCCTTCTGCTTCCACTGTTGGTGCATAAACCTTGATGTGTCATTTTCTAAAATCTGGCTGATATAATTCAGTCATTTATAGGTTTGTACCTGAGCATACATTTTGGGGCCAAACTGAATAGCACTAAAGCTTCATTCTCTATGTGTTTTCCCTCTCCACCTGAGTCTATAATCTTGTTTATGTTTGCTTCAAGTTTTTGTGTTCCTGTGCAATGTGTTTCTGACCATCCAATGATATCCCACCTGAAGTGATTGAGTTCATTCATGAGCAAGCTGGTTCCCCCAATGTTATTGGTTTAGCTCTGTACCCCTTTTAAATTATATTATTTGGAGTTTTTTGATGTCTAGTTTCTTGAGCTTTTTAATATATTTTAGAGATCTGTCTATAACACAATTAATTAAAACCCAGAAACAGATACTGTCTTTAGGTTCAACCTGAAGGTCAGAAAAGCAAAACGGCCAACCGCTGGCTGTTATCTCTAACTCAGTCCAAAATGGTGATCCTTTCTCCAGGAATTCTCAGAATGAGACTGTGTCTGAGAGTTGTCTCCTACTGTTTTATATTCCTCCCTACTGCTGGAATTAAAGAAGTGCACCACTACCATCCGGTTTCTATGGCAAACTAGTGTGACTACTGGGATTAAAGGTATAAGGCCAGTCAAGATGGCTGATTTTGTCTCTAATCTTCAGGCAACCATTATTTATTAAAACGCAAATGAAATATCACTACATGAGTCTTCTGTCAGATGTGTAGTTGGTGAAGATCTTTTCCCATTTTGTGGGCTGCCATTTAGTCATATTGATGGTGTCCTTTGCTTTACAGAAGCTTTTCAATTTCAAGAATTCCCATTTATTACTTGTTGATCTTAGTGCTGTGCTACTGGTAGTCTGTTCAGGAAGTTGTGTCTTGTACCAATGAGTTAAATACTTTTTCTACTTTCTTTTCTAATAGGTTTAGTGTGACTGGTTTTATGTTGAGGTCTTATAGATATAGATCTATGTCCCTAACATTTTGACTGGTTTTCAGGAACATATGCCTTATACTGGTTGGTTGCCTTGTCCAGTCTTAATACAAGGAGCTTAGTCCTAACTCAACTTGATATCCCCTGTTTGTCGGCATGCTTGGGAGGCCTGCCCCTTTCTGAACAGAACTAGAGAAGGAATGAACTAGGGAAAGTAGGGGTAACAATGGGAGGAGAAGAAGGAGGGAAAACTGTGCTCAAGATATAAAATCAATTAAAAAATAATGGGGCTGGAGAGGTGACTCAGAGGTTAAGAGCACTGACTGCTCTTCCAGAGGTCCTGAGTTCAATTTCCAGCAACCACATGGTGGCTCACAACCATCTGTAATGAAATCTGGTGCCCTCTTCTGGCCTGCAGGCATACATGCAGGCAGACACTGTCTACATAATAAATAAATCTTAAAAAATTAAATAATAAGAAAGAAATCCTTCATTGTGTTTTCAAAGTCATTTAAATATTTATTTTCTTTCTCCCCACTGCACTAATCTAGTCATCTCATCATTCCAATGACCAAGGGGACAGGACGACATAAGGCTTTAAACCAATGCAGACACTTTTCTTTTGACTGACAATATAATCCTATATAAGCTTTCTCTTATCTGACCCACACAGTGTTTCATGGATTTTATTGTTTCTTCGTAGGGTCAAGGCAATTATGATGTGACTCGCTATGAAAATATTTTCTCCCTGTTCTGGATTCTGGAGCAGCTTTTTCAACAGGAAATCCAGGGAGATCCCTCTTTACACATTGATCACAGCAGCCCCGAAATCCAGGCGTTTCTTCAGAAGCATGACGAGACCATCTTCCGGCTTTCAGATGCATTCCCTTTACTTACTTTTTACTTATGGAGACTAGGCGTCCTCTTGACATCAGCAGGGATGGAGACGGGTGACGAGACTTTTTCTTAGCTGTATACCATGTATCAGAAAACAGTGAGCTTAAACTTTGCAAAGATAATTTTAAATGAATAATTTAAATTGATTGACCAACCTTAACCATTAACTCAATTTAGTGATTTGCCTTCTGTATAGAGGATGATGAATCACTGTTCTGTATTACAATCGGTCAATTTCAGTTGACAATGCCCCTTACGTTCATGTATTGTATCTTACTTTACTCCATAGTCTAGCAATACTCTCTATAATGAGCCACCCATTGTCTGTCTCATAATATATAGTAAACTGTGAAAGATTTCCATCTGATATAAATGCAAAACTTGTAATCAAATACAGAATATTAAACTTTTGTCATATACTTTTGTATATAACAATATAAACTTTTGTCATTTTGTATACATATAACACTTTAATACAAGGTTTAAGTAAATGGAAAAAAAATAGAAATTATTATGTAGTTGTAGTCATGTCGTTTTCCTCTTAAAGGATAGTTCTATAGAAGGAGAAAGGGCTTTGGAAACCAATGGTTTTTAATTTTACATAATCAACATATTTGTTAAGTACTTTTGAAGTGTTAATTAGTTCTTTAAAATGTCTGTTTTTAAAACAAATTTTCTGTTGATTAAAAACATTATTGCTCCTATGATTGTTAAAATGTAGTAAAGTTGCATATTATTAAGTCATTAGGGATGCTTTTTATAAATTTTAATATCCTCTAAGAAATACACTTTATACTTATTACAAGTACGGGGTTGAATTTTTCCATTACCCAAATTCCTTTACTTAATTTTAGTTATTAAAATTATAACAGACAAGCTTAATGAACACACATTTTGTACTTTCGTATTTAGTGCAATTTAAAGAAAATACAATGTAATTTTCTTTCCTTTGTTAATTGTGTATGATTCTGTTTTATAAGTTAATTATCATTTCCAGATGCCATTAGCACTAAAAAATAAACTTTTCTTTTTTTTCTATAATGTATATAAAATTATATCATCTTCCATAATTATTTTTGGAATTATTTACCAGGAAATGTGTTATAAAAAAGTCTCTCCTAGGAATGACTGCATAAACAAGACCATAAATTGGTAATATCAATGGACATATGAACATGGAAGGGGGACAATTTCCTGCGTATCACCCCTGGATAAGAGCTGAAGGCAGATGGTGACTGCTGGGAGAGGGAGCATTAGCCGACCCTAGCGATAAACACCCTTATCAGTTGTCCAGTGCAGAGTGTTCACCCCTGAAACAACACACACACACACACACACACACACACACACACACACACACACACATACAGAGAGAGAGAATAGACTCAGCTAGTTATAGTTATATGCTTGTGGATACTTATAATGTATCTAGATATGTATGTAATATTAATAATGAAATGAGGCTATCAACATGAGGGGTAACATAGAAGTTGGTGGAAAGTTATTCTCAGAGAATTGTGGGAGAAGAGGGAGCGGGAGTGATTTGAGTGTATTTCAATTTTAAAAATATATACTTTCATTAATGATATTAAAAGAAACTCTTCTTTCTTCAATTTTATGTGGTGGTGACACTGCCTTTTTGCCCCAGACATTCGGGCAGGACACCGAGCAGGCCATGGGATAACTGTGGATGGTCATGTTTTCTAGATGAGCTCCAGAGCCAGGCCGCTCACCTGAGAAGACTGAACACTTTCTATCCACTTTAACTGTGGTCCGTTATATAGAGGAGTGGGCTATACTGGCTGGGTATTTTATTTTGCTACTTGATAAAGTCTAAACAGAGAAGACACTGGTCTTGGAAACTTACACTCTAAGTGTAGTTGAGGTACTTAAGTATTTCTTAATTTTTAGAATAAATGAAGTCTAGTTAACATTTCCAATTGATGATATTTACTTAAGTGGCATAGATACAAATAGTACTCCAGTGTCTGATTGTTTTGTATGTCGCTATGACTAACATTTCCTGAGAATAAAACATATTAACTCCTTAAGCATGCAAAGATCAAGATCGGATACCCACGTATAGATTACCGTTCACTCCTAAGACTTAGATATGAAAATAAATAATATATTTGAACATAGCTTATGCTGGCTTCAAAATCAAACTATTTTTTCAGAAATATGCAGAAGAATAATATCTCTATTTCATGACAAGAATCCATAGTGTGATTCTATTTTCCAAGTACGATGAGTGTCTCTATATGTGTATGTGTGTATATGTAAGTATGTTTCCATGTATGTGCATGAATGTAGATGCCCAAGTTCAATGAGTGTCACTTCTCAGGAGTTCTTTAATTGTTTGTGATTATGTTTTGTTTCTTTGTGTGGTTTGAGACAGGGTCTCTCACAGGCACGTAGAATTCTCAAGTTCGGCTAGATGAGCTGCTCATCAAGCTCAAGGGACCTTCTATCTCTGCCATGTGTGCATTACAGGCACATGCCACCATGACTTTTTTCACGCAAGACTTGAACTCGTGTGGTCATGATTGTGAGGCAGGTGTTTTACCAATTGAACTGTCTCCCCGGTCCCATGTTTGATATTTTTTAAACCATTTCTCGATGTATGAAAATGTCTTCATGGCTGCCTCTTAGAGAAAAGGATGGGAAGAAGTAATTAATTTAAAATGTATCACTGATGTGTTCCCCAAAGGAGATTTATTTAGGCAGCTGTTGTTCACACCTTTTCCTGAGATCTGGAAACTGCATGTAACGCCTTTTCTTGACCTCTGCTTGTCAAACGGCACTACACATATATTTTTTCAAATAGTCCTTTCTTGACATAGTGAAACAACAGTGGAGTTCAAATAAGAACACATTGTGGAGGGTATAAATAGAAGGTGAAGGAAGGCAAGAGAAGACAGGAGCATCACTAAGTCTTCTTATAACAGGAAAAGTGATACTGTGATATTTCTCTGAATGGCATCTGCCTTCTAGTTTTAAAGTGTAAAGAACAAGCAGTATCTATTACTATTAGGAAGATGTGGGGTTTTTTCTGAAGGCATGCCTAAATGATTAGGCCACGTTGTATATTTAACTACTCATTATTATTAAATGCCAGATGGCATTGGGACTTCTGTGTCTTTCCTGATTTGATGGGAGCCTTTCAGTGGAAGAACATACTTGATATTAAAAATAAAGCTATCACTCTGTCTCTATCATAGAAATAAAACTCCCACTTCATCATTAATATACTTTTATTTTATTTTTATTTTTCTCATACAGTGCATCCTGACTGCAGTTTCAACTCCTTTCTCCCCAAATCTTTACTTCCCTCCTCTTTCCCCCAAACCCACCTCCTCCTCCATCTTCTATTAGAAGAGAGTAGGGACTCCCAGGAATAGCTACCAAACATGTAATAACAAGGCTCAGTAAGACCAGGTACATACCATTCCATCAGGGCAGGATGAGGCAAGCAGTATGGGGAAAGGTGATACAGGCCTGGAGTCCAGCTCCAAAGGCTGCACTCAGGGTTGCCAAAAGAATGCTCCAAGAAGCAAGGACATAGGGAAAATTTCTTATCTACCTAAAGAAAGAGACTCAGATATGTGATCTGAGGGTCAAGTTCTTTCTATTTCTTGTCCTCTTTTTCCTGTTTCAAGTTTCTAGTTCTAAATCATTAGCTCTAATTCTCACTCCTAATTTATTCTTAATTCTCTGTTCACATAACTTTTAAGCACATTTGACCACAAATGTTAGGAAGTAAAAGAAAATTGCAAATCTCAGAGTCCCAATGCATTCCTTAAATAAATGATAAGGAGCCATTTACTATGGCAACACATAGGCAGAGTGAAGAATGCTGGGTGTTTTATCATCCTTTTACAAGGTCTGTCCCAAACCTTAGGATACATTTTCCTATCCTGCATGCAGCCTCAGAGTACAAGGAAGGAAACTTGCAACTTTATTAAGGCTGTGAGGTCAGACCGTCTTCTGTGGCCCTGGCTTTTTGTGAAATTTTTCCCATGTAAATCTGTTTCTCTTGGAATTGGTTAATTGCTATTCTTGTTATCCATATAAATTTTAGGACTTAAAAATGAACAATTAATTAGCTGAGCCTCGAATTTTGTACCATAAACTGAGGTTAGAAGTTTGTGCAGAGTGTTAATTGCTGAGGAATTTAGTAGGGGATGACTGTTGCTCTCTATTATGAGCTAGGCCTGGCTAGAGAAACTGGCAAGAAATGCATGTCCCTCTGTGTCTAAGAGACTTTGATTTAACAAACCGGACATCTGCATTTCTGTCCTTCTATATAATCTGTGAAAAATCTGACTTGTGATCCATACATAAACTCTTATTCTAGCTAATTTTCCTCTGTCATCTTAGTTAATTATAGAGAACAAGTTTACAAGTTTCTCACTGTTTTCTGGAACAAAGAGTGAACTATGAGGGCGTGTTTATTCATCAGAAAGACACAGTGTGGGGAAAGTCATCCTTCTGTCAGTACAGGAATAACAGTGCCCCAAAAGCGAGAAAAACACTGCCAAGGTTGTGGGACAAATCCCATGGCTATTTTAGGGATGGTGGGGGGACCAGGGTATCACACAAGAAGATTACGGGCAGAAACAGACAATATTTATAGACATTGGACCCATAAACCCATGTTTATGGGTTTATCATCATCTGATAAATTGTTCATCTGGTGGGTCAACTTTATAAATATCAACTGTCATCTACTGTGTATTCTTGCAGATCCCTGCAGAAAAGGGTCCCAGAAACTGGCAAAAAAGTCACAGACACCATACTCCCACTGGTAGGAATCCCACAAGAACACCAAGCTATTCATCCATAACACAAATGCAGAGGACCTAGGTCAGATCCCACAGACATCTTGATATCTACAAGTCCCCATGAGTTGTGAGTCAATTGCTTCTGTGGACTGTGTTCTCTTGGTGTCCCTGACCCCTCCAGTTCCTTGAATTGTTCCAAAATATTTTATATTTTTTGTGGCTCTTGAGAAGGGTGTTGTTTCCCAGATTTCAGTGCTATTGATTTTTGTGAGTTAATCTTATATCCCACCACTTTGCTAAAAGTGTTTATTAGTTGTAAGAATTCCCTAGTAGAATTTTTGGGATGGTTCATGTACATATCATATCATCTGCAAATGGCATTCCTTTGAGTTCTTTCTTTCCAGTCTGTATCCCCTTTATTTCCTTTACTTGTCTTGCTGCTCTAGCTAGAACTTCAAATATTATGTTGAACAGATAGAGAGAAAGTAGACAATCTTGTCTTGTTCCAAAATTTAGCGGAATTGTTTTTGAGTTTCTCCCCCATTTAATTTGATGTTTGGTGTAGGCTTGCTGTAAATTGCCTTTATTATATTTAGGTCTGCTACTTATATCTCCAATCTCTCCAAGACTATTATCAGGAAAGTGTGTTGGATTTTGTCCAAGGATTTTCAACATCTAATGAGATGTTCATCTGTTTTTCTTGCTTTCAGGTTGTTTATATGGTTGATTGCATTGACAAATTTTTGTAGGTTGAACCATCTTTGCGTCTCTGGGAAGAAGCCTACTTGGTCCTTCTGAATGATCTTTTTCATGTGGTCTTTGATTTAATTTATCAGTATTTTTTAAAGTATTTTTGTATTAATGTTCGTGAGGGAAAAATGGTCTATAATTCTCTTTCTTTGTTGAATCTTTATATAGTTTAGGCACCAGGGTTACTGTGGCCTTGTACAATTAACTTGTCAATATTCCTTCTGTTCATAATTAATATTTTCAAAAGTAAAATTTCACCATAGGATTTTTATGTGAAGTGACATGCATAAAT